TGGGAAGAGAGACCATGGTTCAAACCCATGGCTGAGACTCCAGAACTTGACACTTGGCCTGTGTGTCCATCACCCCACAAGGCTGGGGGACTGTGAGCCCTGGCCAACCAAATAAAGTCAACATCAACCCACCTTGTACTTCAGCCCAGACTTGAAGTAGCCGAGGAAGGTGGACGATTCAAAGCCCTGGACCTCGCGATGCTGCACAGCCCGGCCATTCAGATAGTCATCCAGCTGCACAGTAAAGATGGCGGCAGCCCCACTCTCATCCTGGCTGCACTCATTGCCTAGGGAACATCAGGGTAGCATGAGACTAGAATCTGGAAGGTAGTCTCAGCCCTTTGGGGAGAAGACATCCAGAGCCAACAGCTCTACTCTGGCCTGGCTATAGAAATTGGGCAAGTCCCTCCCTACTTTCCAAAAGCCTCAGTTATTCCATCTGTATAATGAGGTAATCCTAAAACAAACAGATCAGAGCCAATGTTAGAGACTGTGAAGAGAAAATGAGGGAGTGATTGGAGCTCAGCCAAGGGCGTGCAGGGGTATTCAGGGTCCCCATGTCACCTAGCATACCTGTCAGCATGTCTATACTATAAAAACACTGGTGAGTCGTGAGAGGCAGATCACAGGTCAGGGGACGGAGCTGGGATCTGAACCTGACCAGGCTGGCTCTGGAGTGTAGTGGCATGTAACCACTAACCAAGGCCTGACTTCCATAGCACTCAGTCCAAAGTTTCCAGGTATAGCCATGCTTTGGGGGCTCAGGGGTGGGGTGAGGCTGAGCAGGAGCACTTCACTCACCCAGCCAATAATGGAGGTCATACTGTAGATTTCCATTCCTCAACTGCACTGTCTTCAGAATGACATACGCGTCACCTGTGAAAAAGTCTCCATAGAGGTTTGGGGGCACAGGTACCAGGTCAAACTTCTCCACACGCCAGATCTGCAGGCCAGGCTCCTTCCCTGCCTTGAGGAATTCAGGGTGCTCCACCACCATGGTGCTGGGCTGCAGAGAGACAGAGTCAGGCCTGAGCAGGGGTGCAGGTCTTAGCAGGAATGGACCCCAGGCATGAGGGAGGGCAGGTTCTAGCACCAGGAGGAACTCACTTGAGCCTCCTGCTCACCCATGGTGGAGGAGCATCAGCCCCTTTCTGGGAGTTAAGTGTGCCCTAATCCTCAGCCACTGCTCTCTCCCTGGTTTGTTGCTATGGAGGAGGTAGAGAGCGCCCGTCCTTTTCAGTTGCCAATTGAGAAAGCTAAGGCACAGAGAGGCAGGCTGTCTTTCTGGGACCCTCAGTGGGGAACAACACAGAGGGATATCCCTGGGCTCCAAGAGCACTTGTGTGTGAGCAGACTCTCCATGGCAGGGGCACCTCTCCTAGTCCCCAGAGACTCTGCTTGCTTTCTTCCTGCACCTTCTTGGCTTGGAACTCATTATCTGCCCCTCGGGAAACTGAGGATCCAAAAGGAAGGGGGCCTGACCCCAGGTCATGTGGTCTGTTTGCTTTTGCTCTTTGGAAGAGAGAGGATCACCTCAGGCCCCTCCATCTTCTGTCATACCCTAGGAAAGGATTGGCTTAGTGAGCCCAAGTGGCCTCCTGCGCTGTCTGCCTCCTCCCTCCTGCCCTACCCCAGAACCCACCCCATTTCCACATCTTGGAGAAGGGGGAAGGATGGAGCCTGAAGTC